ATTAACAAGACAACTCAATTAAAAAATAGGTGAAGGATTTAAATAGACATTTTTTCAAAGAAGGTGTATGAATGGCTGATAAGCACTTGGAAAGATCTTCATCATTATTAGCTAAACTCAAATCAAAACCGTAATAAGATACCACTTCACAACCATTAGGTCATCCACAGAATAACTCAATATTCAAACATATCAATTCAACTAAAATTAATTTATTAATCTGATTCTTAAATTTATATGCAAGAGCAGAGAGCCAAGTCAAGATATCCAAAAAACAAGAAAAAAGCTAAATTGACTTGTCTTTTGGAAACAGTAACTAAATGAAGAGAAATTAAACAGAGTAGAATTGGCCTACATACAGAAAAATGACCAAGAGAACCAAAGACAAATTTGAGGAACATTCACTCATTTAGGTTTAAAAACAGCCAACCAACCTCTTAGTATACAGTATAGATGCATTGAAGACCATTCAAGCAGTATTAATTTGCTACAGTAAATGTGGTTATCAATATGCTGTTAATATTAAATTTAGTAAGTCAGACAACACACACACACACACACACACACACACACACACACACACACACCCCCATTCCTTCCCCCTCACCCTCCCCAGCCTTAGGCAGCCATTAATCTACTTTTTGTCTTTATATATTCTCCTATTCTGCACATTAGTATAAATTAAATCAGAATATGTGGTCTGTTATAACTGGATTCCTTAGCTTAGCATAATATTTTCAAAATTCATCTACATTTAGTAAATATCAGGACTGCATAAATATGTTCTTGCCTAATTATATTCCATATTTGGTTTACTCATTTACCAGTTAATGGACAATTGGGTTATTTCTACATTTTGACTATCATGAATAGTGGTTCTATGAACATTTGCAATAAATGTTTTGGGGGAACATATGTGTTCAATTCTCTTAAGCATATACTGGGGTGAAATGACTATACTCAACATTTTAAGGAACTGCCAAACTGTTCTAATGCAGCTACACCGTTTTTATATTCCCACCAGCAATGCATAAAAGTTCTGATTTTGCCACATTCTCACTAACACTTGCTATTTTCTGTCTTTTCAGGTCATAGCCATCCTCATGAATGTGAAGAGGTATCTTGTGGTTTTGATGACTAATGATGTTTTAGTGTCTTTCACGTGATTAGCCATTTCTGTGTTTTTAGGAAATGTCCATTCAAAACATTGCTTATTTTTTTTAAATTGGCTAATTTGTCTTTTTATTGTTAAGCTGAATGAGTTCTTTATGTATTCTGTACAGAGATATGTTTTGCAGATATATTCTCCCATTCCTTGAATTGTCTTTTCACTTTTTTGATAATATACTTCAAAGAACAAAAGCCTTTTAAAATTTTGAAGTCCACTTCATGCATTTTTTTGTGTCACCTGTGCTTTGGGTGTCAGACCTAAGAAAACATTGCCTAATCCAAGGTCACTAAGATTTATATCTATGCTTTCTTTCAAAAGTTTAAAAGTTTTGCTCTTATATTTAGGTTTGTGATACATTTTAAGTTCATTCCAGTCTTTGGTATGAGGTAGGGGTTCAAAGCCATTCTTTTGCATGTGAATGTACAATTGCTCAAGCTCATTTCTTTGAATGACTTGAAAAGTATTTTTGATCATTGCAGACTTCAGTATGGACACTTATTTTCTTTTATCCCTTAGAAAGTGTCGACTATGTCTTTTGGCTTCTCTAATTGTTGCGAAATGAGAAGTTTAACGCATTCGTGCTCCTTTAAAAGCAGCCTCTGCTGCTCCCTCGCCCATTCCCTGTGCTTTTGTTCTCTTTATTTTCTGGCAGTTTTACTATGATGTTTTTACGTGCTTTCCCTTTAAAGATGTCCTTCTTAAGATTCTGGAGTATTTTGAGTTTGTAGGTTGACCTGTTTTATTTGGAAAATTATTGATTCTTATCTCTTTAAATATTGCTTCTTTCCATTCCCTGTCGTACCTTTTCAAGGACTCCCTTCCCTGAGTTAGGCAGAATGGGTGAGCCGGTGGTCACCTAAATTCAATCAGCCAATTATGCCAGAGCTGAAGTGCATGCAGTTTTATCTGGATTTATCTCATTATCTTAGCTATGGCCTTTGCAAACTATTGATAGAGAGCTTTCTCTTCACTGAAAGTCTGCCAAAAATAAATTTGAGGCCTGTCCCCAAAGGTATTCATCTATGTAATGTGAAAAATAGAGACATTTATTGCAGAAGATAAAAGATACAAGAAACATTGTACACAGGACAAGGATGCCTCAGGCTCCTTCAAAGTAGACACCTTGGGACCTCACACAGGTTCTCCTAATCGCCATCAGTTTCTCTGTCGTATTTTCCTGAATCTCATTGATGGTCTGAAATCTCTTCCCTTTCAAAGTTGATTTTAGTTTTGGGAAAACGCAGAAGTCACAGGGCACCAAATCTGGGCTGTAGAGGGGCTGAATGTCTAGTTGCACAGTCATTTTCAACACAACGGCCACAAAACACACATGCTCACTCAACAACATCTACTACCTCCACTAACTAGTACAGTGAAGTTGTCATTGTTCACACATGTGCATTCCGCTCCACTCTCCTTGGCTGCCAGGTTACATCGAAGTCCTGCAAACCATTCTCATTATGTTAGCAATGCCTGGGCTTTTTCTGGCCAGACCTACTACACCCACTTTAGAGAGTTTCAAAACAGCTTTAAAGCCTACTAACATAGGTGCTTCAAAATGTAGCAAAAGGTTTTAGGAGAAGGCTAAGGTTTTCTGGAGGCAAGATTCCTCCATTATTTGGTCTTAAATCATCTTGTGACTTCAGGGAAATTCATAATGGCTTTTTAATATTTTTAACCTAAGTCACCAATTTCCTGAGAAACTTCAGAGCTCCAAAATGCCTCATGGAAAAAATGGTGTATGGTTTAGACAGTCCCCCTTCAATTCCAGCTGCTAAAACTTTTCTATTTTATCTCTGTATTCCAGTGAAAGATCTCTGCCTAAACCAAACCTGCCCTGTAATTTTCAGAATGTACCTAGGAATTACATGGCTGACAGCTGTTCCCTAAGAGATGCAAAATTTCTCTCTTATGAGGATTTAAGTCATTAGCATGTATTTGGGTTTATTTTACTTTTATGCTTTAAAAATAACAATGCAGTGTATCTTGATTTTTCTAGTAATTTTCTCATAGTTCTGTCAATATTTGTTACATCCTTTTCTTAAATATAATATTTAACATAGGTTTTATACTTAATGTAATTGCTAAATATTTATATGTAAAAAACCTATCATAGTATTTATTTTCTTACTATATGCTCTTTTCTTTTCTCTTGCCTGAGAGTTAATCAAATGTTTTAATTGATTTTGTTTTCATCCCCTCTACTAGCTTGTAGTTCCACATTATTTTATTATTATTCTTGTAATTATTTTAGATTATAAAATGAATACTTGACTTACATGCTAATTCTTCATTTCTCTTTGTGCTGCACCTTTATGAAATGATAAAGTTTTGTTTCAGTTTTTTCCTGTGGAAACTTTCTATTTTATTCTAGAGGTTAAGATATTTTTGGCATGTTAATAGCTTCATTTTACCCTATTCTTTATCTTTTAAAATATGTATTATATATCGTCATCTTTTATATTTTAAAAGATATGTATATCAGTCAACAATGGCTTTCACTAGTTTCTGGGATTTCTTCTTGCTTAACTGTTTTTTCTCCTGGTTTAATCTCCCTTATTTTGGATGTCATTCACAACCAATTCTATAGAGATGAATTTGGAAAGTAAATTATATGAGTTCAAATTGCTTAAGATGCTTTCTCATTTTTTTGGTATCTATTTTTTTTTTTGGATTGGAATAAATGTCTCAGTTATATCTGCTAGCTTAAACAGAAGTTCTACCTTTCTAGCAATCTAACAAACTTTTTATTTTTAAGCTTTAGCCTGTATACCTTTAAACTCACAATCTTCTCTCTCAGCATATATCCATCTATTTATATATAGCTACATATACATATCATATAGATATAGATACATATGTGATATATATCTCTTTATATATCTATATAGCCATATATTTATATATCTATATATATGTAGATATATGTCTTCAAAACTTCCTCACTATGGTTCCAAATCACCTGCTATTTTGTTGGGAGGGCAGTTTTCCACTGAATTATGTTTTTTCTCTTATGTCTTTGTGTTTCCTTTCTTCAAACTAATAGTCATTCTTACCGTATGTTCATTTCGGGAGTTGATAATCATCTTGCAAGTTTTTTTTTTTTTTGACCCAGAGATTAGAGCAGACATTACTACCTGTTTCAGTTGAGAGGTTGACCAACCTGGCTGTGTATCTAAATATTTCCTCTGTCAACTGCTATTGATTCCTGTGATATAGACATGAAATAATGTGGCTATTGCCGCTGTTTCCATCTTCTCTAGCAAATGGTTCCATGTGTATTTTGTACTATAGTTTTCCTTTTTGTTCTCAGCCTCAGTGAACATCATTTTTCATGATTTCATAGTTCCTCGATTGTCAGGAGTTTTCTTTGGCAGCTTCATGAGTCATCCTTGTAGTTTCCTGGTGCAAATATGTCTAACTGTCTCTGTGTGTCTGCATGTGTAGCTTAAATTATATTTACATGCCAATTTACACTTATGACCTTTTTAGTGCTGATAGGCTATATGCATTTATTCTATATTTACTAAGAAAACTGTGCATGTGGAAGTTTAGCTTGTATTCAGTCTGTCTTCTTCCTTCTTGAATGCAGATCCCTTAGACTTTGAATCCTTCCCTTTATTATTTTGTGGAAATAATTCAGAATTTTAATGCCATCCAACTTTTATAATGTTTTTCCTTACAGCATTGCTCTTTCTCTATCTGTAACCCTTTAAAATATTTATAATAAAATTACATTATTTTAAAAAATCTCAATTATATATCAACATCTATTTCTTTTTAGTTTCCAGAAAAATACATACACAGGAAATCAAAGTATAATAAATACCTTCACCAAATGTATCCTGACATTGTTTGTCCATACTAACACATTGTCCATGTACACAGAGCCATTGTTGTTTTCCACATCGAAAACCATCCTGAATATAAAAGTTATCTTGACATGACGCAGATGATCCATTGCAATATTCAGGAAGATCACATTCATCATGGACATCCCTGCATGCCCGTCCTTTTTCTTTATACTGATGGTGCGAGGTAAATGAGATTGAATAAAGCAGAATGTGAACATATAAATATCATAAAGAATGATACCTTATATAGGTAATATAAAAATTTTAAGAAGACTCGTACTAGACAATTTTCACAGCATGGTCCTTTATCACAGGCAGAAGTGGACTTTAGTTTACATCCAGAAGACTGACAGCATGTCTCTGGGTTCCTTTCACACTCCTGCAAGGAAAACCAAATACTCAAATGTCTTCCAATTTTTATTTACATTTGATACATATTTTAATGATGTCAAAATAATATAATATATACATTATATATCTGATCAGTTGATGCTTAACTTACATGTTGACAAACAGAAAAATTAAACCCACTTAATTCATTCATGTATTTAACAGAAATTTATTAGTTACCTACAGTGTGCGAGGCTGTGTATTTTTTATATCCCTAGAGTAAGTTTGACTATATGGGTAGTATAGTCAAACCCTGGAGGCCACCAAAGCCATCTGCAAGAAGCTCTCCAGTTCTTGCAGACAGAGATAGTAAAATACAAGACGTGAAATGTAAGTTATTACTTAACACGTTTAATTATAGTGACTAGTTCTTACTCATCCTTTATGCATCTACTATATTTTAGTACCTCAATAACTTTTATGAGATAGTCAAAGTTTATTTTACTTGTAATTCTTTAAATATGGAGAGCTAAAATATATTTCTTGACATGACTAAAATTATTGCCTTTACATCACTCATCCAATATTTCATGATGCATTGTGTTTTATGCTATAATTCATCAGTGCCCAGTGAGTCTGTTTCTTTTAAATTCTATTATTAGGTGTAATAAAAACAACATGTAAGAAAGAAGAAAGCTGGAAAATCCCCAAGGATTTTCAAATGGGGTTGATGGGACCAAAAATTTCAATAAGTTACACAAAAGTAAATCATGGATTTCAGTGATCTTATATGAGTCATAGCATGATACTTAGTAGGGAGCACTAAATTTGCAGTATTTTCCAGAACTATTCTGCTTAATCTATGTCATTGCTAGTACTATATATATACGGGATTCCAGAGGGTTAAGTTATGTAAGAGGAATTTGGGACTCAATTACATGATATTTAATAGGGCCAAGAGACACTACTGTTGATTTTTATTAGAAAATTTCAAGGTGTTCCCATTTAGAGCCAAACAAGCAAAAACAGGTGGGTGCTGAGAAATAATTTCTTAAAAGTATATCACCCAACTACCTATCTAAAAACACACTTTTTGTATTGGAGAGGGTACACATAAATGACCTTAGCTTTGGCAGTAGGGAACCCTGAACTCCATTCATGTCTTCTTGATTCTGTCACTCCATACAGCTCTCTGTGAGTCTTACGATCTCTCTCTCCCTCATTGCATTCCATTTATCTCATCTCATCCCACCTCCCTCTGATCCAGCAGCTTTTCCTAAGATTTCTGGGGGTCTGAAAACCAGATTTTATGCATTGTATATGACCCAAATCGCTTTCACTTAAATATTGACCTGGATTAAAACACGCACAGCCAGGATGTGTCTCTTATGTTTTCTTAATTGTAAAACCTTTATATCTTTCTGAATGGCAGAGGATTTTATGTTAGGAATAAATACAAAGCAAATACACAAGAAGAGCAGTTTAAACTTACATCAGCTCAGCTATAGAATTAATGACCTTGAAAATCACTTGTACAGATAATCTTCAAGCCACTAAATCTGTACATCAATATATGAGTGCACTCATTAGTTTATTGAAATCACTATATGCCTTCTTAAGGTATTTGTAGGAGAGTGAATTTGATAAATTATGGAAAATAACAGTGTAACACTATAACAATTAATTATTCTTTATGTAATTCTGGTATGTATTCTTCTAAATTGGTACTAACCTCCTGAGATCCGCAGTCGCATGCTTCTCCATCTTCCACTACTCTATTACCACAAACTGCAGCTTTGTATGTTGGATCTAAATGTGGATGATTTTGAAGACATTGGGATTTTGGTTTTGAAATAAAGAGTGCAAAATCTTCCATGCTGCAGTTACTAAAGGACTTCATACCACTGGAATGTCTAAAAATACAGTAAACTTCAAATTTTTATGTAAGCACTGCATTCATAAGCTTCTAACCTGGGAATAAGCTATTTAATAGCATTTCACAGCAGATAAGATGCTCAGTTAGGTTAGTGTCAAACTTTCATTATCTGTGCATGGTAAGTCAACTGTGCAAAAATTTATATTAAATACTTTAGTAGGAATAAATAATCAATAACATTTTATTGTATCTTATAGTTATTTGTGACACTGTTTTTTTATCATAGCCCCTACCTCACAGAGTGGCCTATCTCTGCTTCATTTTTGCTTCCTCTTCTTTTCATGACTTCTAAATATTTTAATATCCTTGTATTGAGAAAAGAGATTGGGCTTTTCCATTTCTTTCATTTGATTTCGTAGGTAATCTTTTCCCGCTCTGAGTTTTAAATCACACCAATACCTGACAATTCATATTTGTTTTCCTAACTCAAACTAATTACTTAACCTTGAGATCAATGTCCAAGTTTTTACTCAGTCTTTACACAGAGATAACATTTCTAAGCACATGTCTTGCTTACTCCTTTACCTCTCCTTTACTCCCTTTACTTCCCTTAGTGACATTGTTTTCTTCAAAATATTTATCAAAAACTGGAATATTATTTATTTAACTATTTATTGATTATCTTGTCTTATTAGTTTTTTAGCTTTAGGAGAAAAAATATTTTGATTGTTTTGTTCACTAGCACAAAGCTAAGAGATCAATTTTTTTTCTTTTGTTGATTCTAGAGAGAGGGGAAGGGAAGGAGAAAAAAGGGAGAGAAACATCAATGGGAAAAAGAAACATTGATCTGTTGTCTCTTGCTTGCACCCCCAACTAGGGGCAATACTTGCAATCCAGGTATGTGCCCTGCTCAGGAATCAAACTGGTGACATTTTGTTTTGCAGGACAATGCCCAGTCAACCAAGCCGCATCAGCCAAGGCAATGATTATTATTTTTTTTTAAATGAATGAGTGCATGGTTAAAACTGCTGTAGATTCTTTGATTGCCCTTTTACTATAATTTTTATTATTCTGAATAGTATTAACATATAGAAAATATGAAAGTCATAGATTCAAAACCTAGTCATTTAGAGTATTACAGGGAAATGTTATTCACATGAGGACTACAAAGAAATCAGGGAGTTTTTGAACAAACTACCAATTTTGATATATTTTTCTTGTCACATCCTGGGTAAACATACATTTTAGTTATATAACCATAAGTAAAGGATTTATTATTACATTGCCAACAATTCAGATGATTTCTATCTAAACACCAGAAACCAAAAGTAGAAAAAGCAACAGAAGTTTAATTATTACTGAGAATCATGCAATACAAAGTATTTTTGTTATGTGTGAACTGGTCCATAAGGGATATACTTTCCGGGAATGAAATTAATGTTTTCATTAAAAAGAAAATATAATTGTAATTATATCCAATTGGAGAATGTATTTGCAATGTAAACCTTTGCACAGATTTTCTGGATATTCCCATTCCTCATTCTTTCATTTTTTTTCTTGATAATAGAGGCTCTGATTTTCAGTTCAATACATAACTTCTTTGTATAAATGCCGACTTTATTTTAGCTTTTTGAAAAGTTAAGAGTGGACACATAAAAACATTAGAAAATTGGCTTAAAATGAAGTCATAAATATAAGTTCTAGGAAGTAATGTTGACAGACATGCTTTTATGTGCTCCTTTATTCTGTTGTTGACTATAAATAGCTTCCATCAGAAGCTATGAGATTACCTTGGAAATGGAAGCCACTATGCAGAAATCAATGTGAAATTATACTGTGAAATGCCACACAATTAATAGAATTTTCCAAAATGAAAATAAACTCTTTTGTTTAAGCCATTATAACTTTGGGTTTTCTATTGCTTGCAGCAAAATCTAACTACAAACTCTATCTTAATAAATACAGATCTCAATCAGGGTATCACTGTCTAAATCAGAGTTCGAACATTTATTTCCTTACCACAAAATTGTAAAGCATTGGCAATAGGACATAGTGTTCTCATGACAATGAGAGAAAATAATAGAAGGGGGTATCTTTTTCTTAATTTATAAACAAAACATTTTTAAAATAAATAAAACTAATGTTTTCAAATTTAACTTTCAAGATTTTATTAGAGGCATCTCAATTAGCAACTAAAACAGACAACCAGTACCTCAACGTGCTTACCTTTACTGTGACATATGTATAGCATGAAAACCAAGAAAAAAGACTATTATTAAATATCTCAATAAATTTCAAATGATATGTAGCTAAAAAGTATATTTTTGGACCATATTGACGTTGGTTCCAAAATCAATAACAAAAAGGTATCTAGATTATTCACAAACATTTGAAAATCAACTAACATACTTCTAAATTAATCCACTGGACGAAGGAGAAATTTTTTAAAAGTTTGCAAATATTTCAACAAATGAAAAAGAAGTTTAAAACTTTTAAAAATTGTGGTATGTAATTGGAACTGTGGTTAGAGGGAATATATAGTTGTAAAGGGCTTACACAAAAAGGAAGTTTAAAATTAATTAGTTGAGTTTTTATATAAAAATCTAGGGGGAAAAACACGATTACCTCAAACTATGCATCAATAAAAAAAACAAAGTAGACGTGCAATAGGAAAGAATGAACAAAATTAAAACATGGTCTTTTGAAAAATTAATCTGATGAAACTTAGTGGAGTAATTGAGAGAAAAAGAGAAAACATAAATTCTCTACATCAGAACTTATAAGAGAAAATAACTAAAGATCAATGTTACTTGTACATATGGAGTCAAATGTTAGGAAAAAATACAGGAAGAAACAAGATAAACACAAAAGAAAAGGATAATAATGTGCCCTGACTGGTGTGGCTCAGTGGGCTGAGCATCCTCTCGCAAGGTGAAGGGTTGCTGGTTCGATTCTTGGTCTGGGCACTTGTCTGGGTTGTGGGCCAGGTTCCCAGTCGGGGGCAAGAGGCAACCAATGGATGTTTCCTTCACACATCAATGTTTCTCTCCCTTTCTTTATCCCTCTCTTCCCTCCTCTCTAAAAATAAATAAATATATAATTTTTTAAACAGGATAATGTATTATGCCCAAACATGGTCTATCCTGTGAAAACAAAGTTACTTAAACAATTGAAAATAAAAAAATGCATTTTTAACATGTCAACTGAATAAGTAGAAAAAACTTGATCATCTCAACACTTGAAGAACCTATTCATGATGAAAACTTTGGCAAATAAGAAATACAAAAGAACTTCCTCAATCTGATTTTAAAAGCCTCCATGAGAAACATTTACCTATAACATATTTAATGGTGAAAGATTTTGTCCTTAAATCAGAAGAACAGCAAAGACAGCCACACATTCCACTTCTTTTTTACATTGTACTAGGGGTCCTAGCCATGGTTGAAGGCAAAAAATAGAAATTGAAAAAATATAAAGATTGAAAAGGATAATGTAAAACTGCATGTGTAATATATAATCATACGTGTATAAAATTCTAATAAAGCTAGTTTAAAAGTCCCAGAACTAGTAAGTTAGGTTAGCAAAGCTGTAGGATATAATTTCAATATAAAATGATCAATAAAATTTCTGTATATTTTCCACAAACAACTGGAAGTTTCACAGTTACATAAATAGGCACAATTATAAAAAACAATATTGGTCAATATATTTACACTTAATAATGTCTCCAAAAAAATAGTGAAGAAACCCTGCATTTTGAATGGTTCTAATCATGGCGAGACTAATTTAGGCATCCCAAGAAAACAAACTACTTTCAAAAATGAACAAACAATAACTTGACGATATTTAAGAAGCAGTTTAAAATACTCAAGATATTCTAATCCTTCCTATCATTTCTTCGCCATTATAACTATTATCATTATTATATTTAGTATCATAAGTAACATATCATCACTGTAAGAATGCTATAATATTTTAAAAAGGAATAATCAGTTCTCAATATTATTAATATGAGCTACATAAGATGTCATTTTTCTTTGTTTAGATTAACCAGGAAAAAAAAGGGCATGGGCTTTGTTTGAGGACATTTACTTGGGGATGTGATCTTAGGGAGCAAGATTAAGGGTGCAGGAATAGAAGAGAATGAGGGAAAGTCAATCTAAGTATGTTTCATTGAGGTGGCTATTAATGGCTTCATTCTGCAAAGACCACAAAGTCATCTACAGAATATTTAATGGAATTGTCCTTAGATGGCCAGGAAGCTGAGTTCCAGTAAAGTGGTTGAAGTTTGCTCCTATGAAGGAAGTGACTACCTTCATTTTAAGGGTCATTTTACAGATAGCCTGAAGAAGAAGTTAGTTAACATTTACAAATTTCAAAATGTTGACCAGGTCATTGAGTACTGCTTGTGAAGGAAATAATTTTTTGGTGGAATCTGAACTTAGGATATGGAAACCTACGTACTTTGTGCCCGTTATAAATTAATTCACATTCCTCTTTCCCCCACTTCCTTGTCTCTAAACGTCCAATCTTGCAGCATCCAGATCCTTGAACAGATACACAAGTCCTTTGCTACTGCTCAGGCTATGTAGGTCCTGATCCCTGACACTTCTTTTGTATAAGATGGAAATGAATTTTTTCCTAACATGCTCACTGGGACATTTACCATTTCCCACTCTCTTTAAGTCTCAATCTAATTGGAGAATAATGTGGAACAGTGATTTTCTTTTATTCCAACCAACATATTGAGAGGACCTGATCTTGAAACAAGACAACTTTTCTTTCTCTAGCAGCCAATTTTAGGGAACCCCCACTTGACCAGTGGTGTGAAGTGACTGAGAAACACCGGTGCAGTAGATGTCAGTGCCATGGGGATCCGGGGCCCCTGGTTGTGCTATTTCCTTGCCCTATCTGGATCTTTTTCTTAGCTTGTTCCCAGATATACCATTTTGGCCATCAGATAAATCAATATGCCCACTTGATCTTATAATGCTGTAGATCTGAAAATATACAAATTATGATGAAAATATTCAATGAGAAACATGGTAACCTAGTGTTTTCCAGATGCATGTTCAACTCTGCCATGGGTCCTGTAGCCCACCAGGAGCTGAAAGAGTACTCTAGGGGTCTGTACCACAAATCTTTGATACTCGTCAGAGATTCCACATGAAACCTAATCTACCAGGAATATCTTTAGTTTTGCTGTACCTTAATGGTCATAAGTACCAAAGGACAAGGCATCTTGCATCACACCCTGGGCCTGCCCCAGTGCCCTCCAGGTACATCATCTCCTGCCAATGGTGTCCTTGTTCTCATCGGATTACTTATTGATCCAGTTCAACAATCATTTGATAAAAGTTTACTATAGCCACTCCTGGGATAACTATGTTGATGTGGGTTCCTCCTAAATCAGAGTCTGAGAGAAAATTTTATTTTCAATATTTACTTTACAGCTTCAGGGTCTGAATATTTTACTTCAGGTCATGAAAAATATTAGTTCTATTTTCTTCTAAAACTCCTTAGATTCTACATAATGATTTTTAACTCACCTGAATATTTCTTGTATAATGTGTGAAATAGGGTTTTATATTTGTTTTATTTCAAGTAATAGTGGTCTATGTGCCTTATTTGTTGAATAAGCCTTATTTTACCCATTGATCTGAAATATCAACTTAATCATATATTACATTGTTAGAGATATACGTTTGTCTCTAGAATACTCATTATATTTCATTGATCTAATTGATTATTTCTGTGCAGGTGTCATGTTGATTTAATTGCTGAGACTTTATAATGGTTTAAAAATTTTTTTATATTTTATGATTAACTTTGACATTTAAAAAAATAAATAAAATCAATTTGCATTTAAGAAAGAAAGAGAGAGAGAGAGAGATGGAACTCCTATGTTTTGTGACAACATGGATGGAACTTTAAGCTAAGAATATTAAGCTAAGTGAAATAAGCCAGTTGATGAAAGACAAATACCATATGCTCTCACCTATAAGTGTACTCTATTCAACAAAATAAGCTAACGAACAAAATAAACCACAGGCACGGAGACATGGAGCAAACTGAAAGTGACCAGAAGGGATGGGGAAAGAGGACAATGGTGGAAAGAAGGGGAAGGGACTAGACAAAGAACATGTATGAATGACCCATGGACATGGATAACAGAATGGGAATTGACTGTGGGAGTGGAGGGTGGGGGTAGGGTGGGTGGAGGGGGGTGAAGGGGAAAAAACAGACAACTGTAATAGAATAAACATGATTTATAAATTTAAAAAAAATAAATGATCATGGAAGTAGGATGAGGAAATGGAGAGATCAAGATGTTCTCAAGTTTGCTGCTGTAGACAATTGGGCTTGATTTCCTAAGACATCTGAGAAGTAGAAAATGCATGCTTCCAAAAATTGTCTATCAGAAAGATAAAGGGCTGACTCCAGCCACTGACTGGATAATGGATTTCCTACTCCCTGACTATTTGGTCCTAATTTTATAGAATCTCAGAGTGTACTCTAAAAATAATGATAACAGCAAATGTTTTGAAGCATGATAAGGATACTGCAGAAAACCTTCTCTAATGACAAAGAAAAGGCTGAATAACAGCCTCTGTGAAATCAATAGATGCCAAGACCTCAGGCTGAGGCAGGTCAGGATAAAGGAGAACACAATAATAAATCATTCTAGTATAGTGATTAATTACAGACCAGTGTTTGCCTTAAATTATTAAATCATGCAAGTGAACAGTGATAAATATAGAGTTAGATCACATATGACAAAGCAAGTGTGACATTAGATTAGGAAAAACTGAGATAGATAGAATTAGATTTATGTATTTTGATCTGGGGATCACTGGTCACAGCTTATATTTGACCATTTTTAATCATGTTAACAGCTTAGATTTTAGACATACCAAACTTATTTTCATATAAGTAATATGTATAAAGCATATAAAAATAAAGTATCTTACATTGCTTCTGGGTTCATTATGCAGACAGCTCCTGAGCACTGGCATTTGTCAATGTCATCATAAGGTATCCCCATGCTAAGGCTCAGTAACTGAGCTATAATAACAGAAAGTGATTCCAGACTAATGGTTTTAGGGTGCTGGAAAAAACACATTTTAGGAGATAATTCATTTACTGGGAAAATAGTGTTAATTATTAGAAACAGTCACATGACAAAATGGAGTAGAGGCTCTAATATATTAACCATGGAAATGCCATCCATGTTAATCTAATTTGTTACAGGTACCATTATTAATATACAAAAAATAGAAATAATGAAACTTGAAATTTTACCAACATGTAAACGTAGGGTTTATTTGGTGGCATCAGAACATGATAAAAATGGCCCCAGTAACATAATCATATCTAACAATAGTTATAATCAGCTTTGTACTAACAAATTATTAACAGATCATGCTCATTTTCAATTTGATTAGAGATGATATTTTACATAAATGTTTCATACATTTTTAAAAAGTCATAAATAACACATTCAATTAATTTATATTATGGTAATGATGACTGATAATGAGAATGCCACTTTCCACAGTTGTTTAAATCTTATTTTCAAAACTAAAATGGCTTTATCATTTTTTCTTTATAAATATAAGATGCTTATAATAGCACATTTTGACCATACTAAAACATATAACATTTAAAAGGATCCAAAAATCATGCTAGCTCTTCAAATATATCTAATAACACTTTTATGAATACAATTCAAGACAGGTTTCTAGGCATGCATTTTGGTATTTTCTGTTTGCTTTTCTAATTCAACTTTCCATCACTTTGCTCTCTGCCCTCTAACTCGGAATGACACCAATGGGTTATGTCAAAAGGGTCTGTTGCCCACTGCTTTACTTTGGTCTGATAGGGAGGAGAGGGTGAGAAAAGAGCAAAGCATTTATTACCATCATTGTCAGGGGGCCTATGACTGTCTGAATCCTTGAGTGGAGTTCTCTACATTCTATCTGTGACCCGCATAGAATAACTCTGTCCTTTCCTTCAAGCCTGGGTGACAAATTAAATATCTTTATTATAGCCCTGAGATCTTGCAAAGTCCTTACACCTTGCATATACATTGATAAATGGTCCCTTTATCAAATTACCACAGTTCAACGTACCATCCATTTTCAGAGAGAGGGAGAGAGAATAAAAGAAGAATACGATGATGAAAGAGGAGGAGGAGAAGGAAGAAATGGAGAAAAAGGGAGAGTAGAAAAGAGGAGGAGGTAGAAGGAGGGGGAGAATAAAAGGGGGAAGGGAGAAGAATGTTTGATTCTATGCAAAATAGAAAGATTCTGCTAAATTTCAACAATGTAAGTAATAGGATATTATACATAGTAATATGATAAATCATAAGATAGTATATTATTAGTGTAATTATTTTAGTTTTTTATTTGTTTACAGGATATTGTGGAAAAGGCCAGGCAACCATTCAAACAGTGCTGCTTTATAAATGTTTCTCTTGCCCAATTACTCCTGTTCTCTCTTATATACCTTGGTAAGAAGGGAATAACAGCATCCAAAAAGTTTCACTTTATTCATTTGTATAAAAGCAGTCCCTTGTACTCCCATGTGCAATTGTTCTTTTATTCTTTATCTTCTTAGTAGTATATTTTTCTGGCCTTTCCTTTCATTTGTGTGATATGGTCAAAGACATGGCTTGTATTGGAGATGACATTCTTTTGTGTTCTTTTTGTGGCATGTCACATTAAGCTCTGTTAGTCAGCTATGGCTGTCATTACAAAATACCACAGACTGGGTTGTCTTAAATAACAAAAATTTATTTTCTCACAGTTCTGGAGATTAGAAGTCCAAGATCAAGCTATCAAAAGGTTTGCTTTCTGGTAAGGTCTCTCTTCCTGGCTTCTAAAAGGCTGTGTTTTCACCGTGTTCTCACATGGACTTCTTTGGATGCTCAGAGATAGGTATCTCTGGTGTCCTTTCCTCCTTTTATAAGGACTCTAATGCTCTTGGATTAGAGGCCCACTTTTATAACCCTCTTTAATCTTAATTACTTCCATAAAGGCCCATATCTCCAACATATAGTCACATTGCGGTTAGTGCTTCAATGTATGAATCAACGTTAAGAATATGTAATTTAGTCCATAACAGACTAGTAAGAAAAACTTGAAAAAGATACAATCTGGAGTATGAGAATTTCTTACAGGATATTGTTATGAAAATAATGGAAAAGCTAAAATTATATTTAGTATTGGAATTTTTTAAATATTTTGTATAAAAGTTTGTAACTAAGCAGACAAGTTTCCTTTAATAATACTTGCTTAGGGCAACATCTGTCAAATAATAGCAGCTGGTTTTTACTAAGGTTTCTCATGTGCCAATCACTGGATTGAAAAATTTGCAAGCAAGTAATTATTGACACTTCCTTTGTTGTACAACATATGATTACTTACTATAAATATGTCTGCCGTGTTTGCTTTGTAAAAACTTCTAGTCTCTAACATTAAAAATCAAGATTCTATATATATCTTTTAGATAAAGCTTGTTAATGCTGTTCCAGCTTGCTAAATTTTTGGTCTGATAAATGATAATCCAGGTACAATTTTCCTACTAATAGCTCTTTTAGTGTTTGATTTGTGCATCTTAGTTATATATATATATATATATATATATATATATATATATATATATTCATGTGTGTGTATATGTAATATATGTTCAAGTTTATTATATAGTGCTAGTAAAATTTTGTTTCAGTCTAAATAAGGAATCACTTAAAATTCATATGTATTTTACCCAGAGACCATTTTGCTGCTTTATACCATTGATACATCAAAATTCCATTGATGATATATTTGGTTCTCTGTCTTACTCTTTTGGGCTAAAATTTCTGTGGCATTATATATGGGTTTGAAATATATGGAGAAGAATCAATTGGATAATTTTTATTTTTGGTAGTTGAAACTAAAATATTTTCATTTTGATTATTGCCTTTTGAAATTATTAATAATATTTTATTTGTGTTTTCATGCCTTTTAAATAATTTTGTTTTATATAGAGTACAGAAATCTTAAGTGCCCTGATGCTGTTTAATATACATATATATGTATATATAGAATATTTACACATCTATGCACATTCATATATACAATTTATTTATAATATTGTATGTGTATACATATATACATACATTTGTGAAGTGTGTGACACTTATCTGTAAAACTACTACACTGTACAAAACATAGGATATTTTTATAACCCAAGAAGTTCTCTTTAGCAAATTTCCAGGCATTACCTCCCTATAATTTGTAACGTATCTTCTGATCTTGAATAAAATGGCATGTCTTTACCTACATATTAAAATGGCATAACAAAGTCAATATTCTTTTGTTTGATTTATTTTGCTCAACCTACAGTTTTTGAGATCCATCAATGTTGAGTGTATAACAGTAGTTTGTTTTTCTTTCTTGCATTATGTGAATATACTACGCATGTTTATCCATCTCATGGATAGGAGGACTCAGTATGGTTAAGAAATCAATGTCCCTCAAATTGGCCTAAAGATTCAGTTCAAAGTCAATCAAAATCCAAGCAGTTTTTGTTGAAATTGACAAGCTGGTTTTAAAATAGAAATGCAGAGAACTCAGAATAGCTACATCTGTCTGAAATAGTAGTAGTAGGGTTTACAGTACCATTTTTGATGATTTACTATAAAAGTAGTTATTAAGACAATGTGTTATTGGTGGAAGGAAAGAAAAAAACAACGATGATAAAAGAATCCAGAGAGAGGCTAGAAATATGATTTAATAGCAGAGGCACCACTTGGGGATACGGTAGGGAAGATGGTGGGTATTTAACATCAGAAGGCAGAGTTTCAACTGTTTGCTTCAACCTCTCATTCTAGTGAATATAGGCCGCTGCTGATTTTTTTTTCAATGAAAAGGTCGGGCAATAATTATCCCAATGAAATGTGGAGAATAAGAAAGACAGATCCTGGGAGGCTCTTGTCTGATTGCTCCTCTCTCTACAGAGACCACTGCTCTTCCCATGAAACACACACTTTGCAGTAAATGATAGTATTTCCTTGCACTTGGCAGCTAACTTGCCTGTAGAGAGTATGAGTTCTGCTCTGCTTTTTGTTAATTGATGAATGTCCTTCTTCACATGAGAGTTTTATGATATTTCCGTGTTGCTTGGTTAATCAGCCAAATTCCAGCTTTTGAGATTAGGCAATGGCTTGACCATAAACATAAGCCACATTCTCCAGACTACGATATGGGAATATTAAAGTTTTCTCCATTTGATTGGGTCATCGTTATAAATCTTCACTTAGCTTTACTTGTTCACTGAGATACGGGTATTAGTCATTGCTTCCCTCAAACTTCAGCAGACACATACAAACACACACACACACACACACACACACACACAATATGAAAAAGGCAAGTTCTACATGTCAGAACAACCATAGCATTGTAAAAGAGGGGCAAAAACACATCAATTTTAAATATACCCAGATTTTCTACTAAGATAAATAATGCCAGTTCGGGAGAGCATTTGATTCCATTATTCTTCACCTGTGTTCCTCAAAACACTTTAAGGTAATTGATAAATAGTTTCAAAAGTTTTATTTTAATCTGGGTCATAATTATGTTACCTACTTAAGAAAATCTACAAAATCTAATATTGAAATTAAAATTAATGAATAAATAAATGTTAAGCACATGAAAATTTATGAGCATCTCATAAGACTAAAATAGATCACTATATTAACTTTCTAAAAGGATATTTTGAACTCATGAGAGGAAAACAGTAAAAATTTTATGTGTATTAAGTTCAATGAGGACTTGCTATAGCTCAAACATTTCTCTAAGCAGCATGTACAAAGAGCACTAGATTCATTATGCAAACATCAATATAGTAAGAAATAATTGAGTAAGGAAATATTTAACTATATATGATCTAAACAGCGTCTATTTATTTATCTTAGCCAAGCAGATTATACCAACCAGAGCAACACTTCCTCCATATTGTCTATCGCACATCTTTCCTTGAAAGGTTGCACCAACATAATCTGCTTTTTCTCTGTAACTTAAGTTTAAAGAAATCATAATCACATAATTTTATAAAGCTAAACACACTTAACATTGAATTTGCCTAATATATATTTTTTATGTTTATATAATATATGCATGGATATTTTCACCTAACATTAAAGTAATAAAGCATAGGAAGTGACAATAAGTCTGCTTCTTTTAAAAAAATAAAATAGACTTTAAAACAAAATTTAATATTATAAAGTGTATTCTCAAATGGAATTTTTTAAATGAAGATTCTGTTTTATGTAGTGTTCACTGAAAATTAAAATATTTTTAAAGTATCAAAATAAGAAAAATAAAATTTCTTAAAATTAAAAAAAATAAAGCAATGCAGTTGACAAATAGGCAGAGTTACCTTATGGACTAAAGTTTCCCCCTTAATCAGGTAGAATTAGCTTGCCAGAGTCATGAAAAGTTATGGCATATGTGGGGGGCAGAAAATAACATGAAAGATTATGATTTTTAATTATACATTTGATTTTATTTAATATAATAATATATATAGACTTTGGACTTTAATTTAAAAAAGAAGCTTATAAATAGAAAGGGGGTCATATTTTTTAAAAGGCAGCACAATGGGAATGTGGTATGTTAGAGATGTTTAAATGTATCATGGTGTTTCTAGTTCCTTATTATTTTTGCTTTATTTTATGGAAATAAAGTGTAAAAAGAAACCCAAATTACTATATTCATAGAATTCTGTTACATTTCTTCAGATAGATACTATTAATATTTTTTGTATAGTTAGAGATATGATACTGGAAGGTAAAAAGGCACGTGGTAACAGGATTGAAGGAATGAATTTTAAATATAAATAAATAGAATGATTTCAATAATTATTTAAAACCCATGTGATGAAAAATAATATTCACATGATGCTGTAGGTAAGAAAAATGGCACAAGAATTTTTTCCTCTAAAACCTGTCAACTGTCAGAAATTAGTTCAAATATGGATATGTTTTCTTTGTATAAGATTCTGTAAGGCCAATATATGCTTACACAAGTAAAAACGCCATATCATGTGGACGCAAAACAAGATAAGACCTTTTCCATTTTAAAAATCTGTATAATAATTCATTAGCATCTCCAGTTACTGGAATTTTATTTTCATCTATCCAAAGTTCCAATGAAGAGAGAATTATTGTAATATTAAATGAAGTAAAAATCTAAAATAGAACACATAAAGAAAATAAATTCAAATATTACAGTCTAAATAGATTTCAAAATTAAGTGTGAAAATAAGCACTATACTGATTACAAATGTTAAACAATTCAACTTTAAGTCTGTTTTGAATCTTATAACACACTACTACTGAAACAAGTTATAATTAACATCTGAAAAATTAACATGGGGACTTAAACAAGCCCCATGTCAAGTGCTTTATTTAATTTGATGGTTACAATAACCTATTTAGGCATATGACAGTGATGTTAACGAGGGTGCTGCAAGAGGCCCACTAGTGTGCTGCAAGAACTTTTAAAATATACAGTACCAGACCATCCAGTCAGGGGCACTTTCTTTAATTGTTAAATAAAAAAATGACAACAGCCAACACAATAACAGCCGTCTGGTGTGAAATAAATCAAAATTATGAGTATACTTATTTTTTTGTCAAATCAGCAAAACTATCTTTTTTGGTGCATTGCATAACTTTAGTGATTACTTTATGTGTGTTACAAGATGGAAAAGGTTGAAAACAGCTGGTATGTACAATTATTATTATTTCTATTAAACAGTCAGAAAACTGAAAATTAAAACAGTTACATAATATTCCCTATTCACACAAGACGTACATTCAGGCAGTGTCATGAAAGAAACTAGGGATTTTTAAAGTAATACAAGCAAACACAAAGGTACTAAAATGCAAACACTTACAGCATTAGTCAAACTAATTAACTGGAAAATTTTTTGAGTGACAATAGCCGTATCAGAACCCATATGACGATACTGAAAAAGATAATCACACATTTTAGATCTAAATATATATTGCTTAATATTTAATGGATGCTGTTTAAATTTTAATATAGTGTTTAAACTATTAATTATTAGTTTTTAATATTAAATATTATAATAATAATATATATTCAGTGTGAGAAATGGACTATATAAAAAATACAAAAAGACACTACAAACTTCCAAAAACAGAAGAGGTGGGACACTTCCAAACTCATTTTACAAGGCCACCATCTACCCTGACCCTCAAACTAGACAGGTTCATAGCATAAAAAGAACATGAGGGGCCAACATCTCTGATGAACACAGATACAAAAATCCTCAACAAAATGTTGGCACATGGAAATCGAGAGCGCATTAAAGAGACCATGCACCACGGTCAAGTTGGATTTATTCCATGGATGCAAAAATGGTTCAACATTCACAAATCGATTAATGTGATCCACTATGAAATCCAGAGAAAAATCATAAATTCTTTCTTTCTTTTTTCTTGGTTAGTCAGTTTTCAAATTTTTTATCACTTTGTATTGAATAAAAAGTGCAGACTGAGAAGTGCAAATTCGTAAGGGTACATCTCTATGAATTTTTATAAACTGAACACACCTGTGTAACCAGTGTCCAGAACAAGAAAGAACATTACAAGCATTCCAGAAGCTTCTTTTTACCTTCCACCAATCAGTGTAATATTGTCTAATGACAAAGAGTTTGTATAGGCTAGCAAATGTTCTCTAACCAAGACCAATGCAGTTAGTAACTTGTTTTTATTACTGTGCTGCATTCAATCGCAATTATTTGTACACATATCACTGAAAATGTGGTTGAGGGGGTTGAGAGGGAGAAAAACCTCCCAGGTCCTGTTCCTGGGACTCCCCAGAGCCCATCAGTCTTTCCTACGTGGGGTTCTCTCCTAGTCACCCAAGAGTCCCAATTTCCCTTGGATTCAATGGTGGAAAGAAGAAAGGACCAAACAAAGAACATGTATGAATAACTCACAGACATGGACAACAGAGTGGGAATTGACTGTGGGTGAGGGGTGGGATCGGTGGAGGAAGGCAAAGGGGGAAAAATTGAGACAACTGTAATAGAATAAACATGATTTAAAAATAAAAAAAAGAAAGGTAGTTGGGCAATCAAGTTTGGGCTACATTTTCAGTCACCTCAAGAATGTAATTAAGAGTCGCTGATATGCTTAAAATTGAAATGGAAGGGAGTTCCCAGAAAAGGTTGGACATTGCAATGCTCTCCAACTGTTTAGAGATACCTGAAACTTTAAAACCATCAATAATGGATATCCCTCAAGAGATTCTGAGGTCAGTGGTTTAGGATGGGCATAAGATTTTTTTTTTTCTGTTGTAATTTTTCAGATGATTACAACGTGCTGTCAGGGATAAGATCCACTGGGATAGAGAAGTCTACCACTTCAGGGTCTCATGTGTGTTAAGATGGTTATAGTGTAAAATGGCCATGTTGGTGATTCTGGGAGCCCGAGTTTCACATGCAGTTAGTGTGAGCTCTGCTGAGAGAGTTGTGATCACTTAGAATAGTTCATATAATTATTTTAATTGATACATTAAAAAAGTTTGACAAAATTCCAACATCTTTTTGTAATAAACACTCTCAACAAAATATGTATATAAGGAACATATCAACGTAATAAAAACCATATATGACAGGCCCACGACCAAGGTCATAACCATAATCAATGATGAGAAGTTAAAAACTTTCCCCCTATAATCAGGAACAATACAAGGATGCTCAGTCTAACTCTTTCATTTAGCATAGATTTCAAAGTCCTAGCCAGAGAAATTAGGCTAGAAAAATATGCATTCAAATTGAAAAGGAAGAAATAAAACTGTGACTGTTTAAAGGTGCCATGATATCATATATAGGAAACTCTGAGGTCTTCATCAAAAACTGTTAGAACTAATCAACAAAAACAGTAAAGTTGCAAAATAAAAATAAATATGCAAAAACCTGTTTGATTTTTATATACTAATAGCAAACTGTCAGAAAGAGAAATTAAGAAAACAACCCCATTTACAATGACATCAAAAATACCTAGAAATAAACTTACCCATAGAGAGGAAGGATTTGTACACTGAAAACTATGAGATATGGAAGAAAAAATTGAAATCCCCCCAAAGGAATGCAAATACATTCAACGCTCAAGAACTAATATTGTTAAAATGTGTATACTACACAAAGCGACAGATCTACAGATTTGATGCAACCCCTACCAAAATTCCAGTGTCAACTAAAAAAGAGCAAAATCATAGAACCTTCAGGATTGGGTGAAATAACAAGATGGTCTGAGAGATTTAAGAGTAAAAACTTGAGAGTAAAAGTGTTTGATCTCACTTGGATGAAATTTTTAAAAATCACGCTCCTAGATATAGAGAATAAATTATTGGCAGTCATAGCTAGGATGTGAGGGTTTGGCAAAATAAAGGAGGGGAATCAAAAGGTACAAACTTTCAGTTTTAAAATAAGTCAAGAGGATGTAATGAACTGGATGGCAACCATAGTTAATGATGCTGTTTTGCATATTTGCAAGTTGCTAAGAGAGTAGATCTTCAAAGTTCTCATTGGAAAATAAAATTCTGTAACTATGGTGACAAATGTTAACTAGACTTATGGTGAGTATGTTGCAATATATACAAATATCAAGTCATTATGTAGTACACCTACAACTAATGTAATAATGTTGTATGTCAGTTATTCTCAATAAAAAAGAGAGAAAGTAAGCTATTCAAAGTTTTAATTGGGGGATTGATATAATCTGATTTATGTATTAAAAAGATATAAATGTCCTAGCTTTATCAGAGGTAATTAAAGTTTTTTGTCTTTAAAAAATGAATTGGCAGCTTTCTAAACAGTTTAGAATAGTGATTCTTGGATTTTTGTTTATTTCAGACTCATCTGGAAAATAAATTACAGAAACCTAGGTTTCTTGAAGTTGCGAGGACTTGGCATCTGTTTTATTTTTAACCAAGGTTTCTAGTTGATAAGTATTCAAACCAATGATTGAAAACTACTAGTTTAGAATACAGTGCAATTTTCTGCTATGTGGAGGTTAGGTAAAATGCAGCTATAAGCTCAAAGCTCCTCATGAGTTTTTAATACTAGTTCTTTAATTATCTTTCAAGTTTCTTCTATAATTATTTATTTGATAAAAGTATAAAACAACTATACTCATGAGTACAAATGCAAAACTCTAAATATTAGTAAATTCCAGCAACATTATCAAAAGAATAATGTGATGATGGGGCAAATTTATTTTCCAGTAAACAGAAGTTCAACATCAATGAAGTATGTAACATTATCCACTATATCAAGAAATAGAAAGAGAAAATTTGCATAGTCATAATAATAAATGCTGAGAAAGCATTTGGTAAAATTCAGCAGCAATTCCTAGCGACACCTCAAAAAGTAAAACAGAACAATAATGGCAATATCAACAACTAAAAGTTGCTAATAAACATTATTCAAAATGGAAAAACCATTTAAATTAAAATCAGGAACTACATAGCTATTCCCTCCATTAATTAATGTAGTAAGGGAAGTTTTAGGGAAGTTTAGAGAAACACAAACATTGAGTCTGTATCATAAAGCAAACAAAAAAAACAAAGAAACAAACAAAAAGGCATGTCCTAAAGGAACATGATAAATAGGAAGAAGCCACTCTTGCAGAGCTGCAGAGTACCAAAGTCTTTAAGGTATGTCTAGAGTATGCTCAAAGAGCTGAAAGAAAACACTAAGAGAAATCAGGAAAATTACATATAAACAAAATGAGAATATCTATACAAATATCGAAATTATAAAAAGAAACCAAATAAATTCTGGAGCTACAAAAATGAAATAATTGAATTGAAAATTCACTAGGAAGATTTGACAACAGATTTGAAGAGGCAGGACAAAGAATCAGCAAACTTGAGGAGTAGGCAATTTAAATTATGGAGCATAAGGACCAGAAAGGAAAAAAGAGAGATTTGTAAAATACCATTATGCAGAAGCAACATAGGAATTATTGGAGTCCCAGAAAAAGAGGAGAAAATATTAAAAGAAACAAATAATTACCAGTACAAATTGACATAAGGCAAATGAATCAGAATATACTTACCAAATTTTTTTCAACTACAATATGCATTTCTATATAGTGAGATAACTCCTTAAGTGGCTGAAAAAAAATCACATGAAAATTACAGAATTACTTAAATATTTTAGTGTTTATCACTACTCCATGAATTCAATGATGAAAGATTCAATTTCATATATAAAAATAGAATCTGGTAATATAAGCAAAATTAGGTACCAAAGAATCATTTGCAGAGTATTTCCTTTGTCGCCTCTTTTGTATCTGAATAACCATTTAGTTTACTCAGAAAATAGCTCTCCTCTACCTTCCACTCTCCATATTCTCATTAGTTTTAAGCTATTTATATTATTCACTTTTCTGAAAAAAACTCTTCTATTGACTCCCATTACCAAAGGTGTGAATTTTTATTAGCTTCATGATGTAATTATATATTACTCTAGGGTATGGTTTTATCTATGACTCCAAAAGTTTAAGGACCCATCTCTGTGTTGAGAGGGCTGATATTTCATCTGAAGCATGAAGTTAATCCTTGTATAAATCACCTCAGAAAAAGGTGAGCAACAAAGAATCAAAATGACTAACTTGCTTAAACTGTACCATAGATATCTCAAAGTGTAAATTCTGGGTATGATGTCATCCACCTAAATTATAGTGGTTAGCTTAGGCAAAAATGTGAGCTCAGAGGGGATTCGAACTCTGGCACATCATTTATGAGATTTCAACTCTGCCAAAAATGGTGATAAAGAAAGAATTATTGTATCTACTACAAAGAAATATTAGTTTATTTTCATAGTTATTTTTACATGAAGAGTATCTAGGAGGAATGCACTAGGGAAAACTTGTAAGACAAATGTTGCAAACTCTTTAAAATTATAGTGTAGATAACTCAAAATATCTTGTTACTAAAATAGCATACTATCTACAAACAATGGACAAATATTTAGAAACAGAAAAGGAGAATAAAATGTAAGAAATTGAGGAAAATTTTATATTATATCTATTTCAATGTCTGCATTATTTTATTTTTCACATTGTAATTTAAAACTATACCATTTTAACCCTGATTGGTGTGGCTCAGCGAGTTGGGCATTGTGCCACAAAACAAAAGGTTGCTGGTTTGATTCCTGGCCAGCACATGTGCCTGGGTTATAGGTTCAGTTCCCAGTCAGGACACATATGATAGGCAGCCATTGGATGGTTCTATCTCACATCAGTGTTTTTCTCTTTCTCTTTGTCCCTCCTTTTCCCTCTCAAATAAATAAATAAATAAATAAATACATCCATAAATACATCCTTAAACAAATCCTTAAAAAAACTATACTGTTTTCCTAAAACCATTGTCCTTAATATATTAAATGGAGCATTAAAGAGAGAACAAGAAATATGGGATCTAGTAGAGATCAGAAAAGTGATGGTTATAGTAATTTAAAAGAAAAAGAAAACTTGGGAAATATCAGTTAAACAAATTTAAGGCTGATTGACCACTCATTTTCCCCACTTTAATATTTTGTTTCTTGGCCCAAGCCTTGGAAATTTCAAAGTTTTGTTAAAAAGATACAGATGAAATCCCTGTATGGTCTCTTTTTTTAGTCATTTACATTCAAAATTAAGCACCAAATGTTTCATGATAGTTTGCTTTAGGACTCCATCCTTTCATTAAAGTCCCTAAACAACATAATAACACTACTTTACTGGAGGATAAACATAATTGCTTAAATCAGGTGAAATAAACAATGTATTAATGGATTGAAGAATTCAAAACTATTTCTTTGTTTTAACCAACATGTTTTAGTTGTCTAACATTCTCTGACATAATCTTTGCTTATTCATTCATTTAATGAATAATAAACTTTTATGGAAAAAAAGAGATAAGCTGTTTATTTTAGCCAAATAAATTTATGACAAAGGTACATTTCAGGGAAGGTGCCTGTTGGAAAATGAGCAGATATTATATTTCAAATGACCTCAAAAGCCATTTTATATAGTAAGAGAATATGGCTATATAAGAAGACAAATGCTTAGATATGTATTATATATATATATATAACTTCAACTGCAATGAAGTTTGCTCTGGTCAAGTGAATATTAAAAAATTGACTCAAGGCAAGAATATCAGAAAATGCTACTGAATGATACATTACAATACAGAGGGATTAGAGTTAAATTTCAAGGATGTAAAAGAACATCGGTAAGACTATTCAGGGAATGAGAAAGGACATAAGGATGATAGAAAGATGATGATGAAAGATAGATAGATAGATGATAGGTAGATAGATGATAGAGAGATAATGTGTTCCTGTATTATGTTTAACTTAAACAACTATTATGTTTACCATGGATCCATAACTCAGGGAAATTTGGAGTGAGAGATATGTAAATCACAGTAGATAAAACCATGGAAAAATATAGAAAGTAAACCAAGAAAAAACCAAGGCACAACATAGAAAATATCGATATCTAAAATGTAAGTGTACAGGGAAAAGTAAAAAGAAAGTGAGATAGAATGAAAGGAAGAAGAGTTTTATTGGAGAATAAAGTGAGTTGAAAATTCTAAGAAGGCTTTCTTTTATTTCACCATTAACATACTTAATAGACTGAATCCTGAACCCTTTCTGCCCAAGATTGGGACAAGACACATATCTCTTCTCACCTATTAAAAAGTATACTGGAGGTGCTAACCAGGACAATTAGGAAATAAAAAAGAAATGACAATTATCCTAACTGAAAAGGAAGAATAGAAACTATCTTTATTCAAAGTGACATGGTCTTATACATAGAAAATCAGAGTCCAATAAAATTTAATAAACGATTTCAACAAGACTGCAGAATATAAAATCAGTATATAAAGATCAATAATTCCCAAACATTGATAATGAGAAATGCAAATTTGAAACAAAAATTACATGTGCAACAGCATTCAAATAATAAAACTTGTAGAAATAAATTTAATAAGTTTACTTCATGACTTGAAGACTGAACTATGCAAAACAATGCAGAAAGATATTAAAGAAAACGTAAAAACAAAAAGCTATTTAATGATCATCGATAGGAAGAGTTAATATTGTTAAATGGCTATATTCCCCTGATGTATTTACAGAATCAACACAATCCAGGTGATTTTAGAGGAAATTGAAATAAATTTTAAAATTAACTTGGAAATTCATATTAACAAGAATAGCCAGAACAATGTTGAAAGAAGAATGCACACTTACTAATTATAAAACTTACTTCAGGCGTATAGTAGTAATAATGATTTTTTAAAAGTGCAGTTCTGGCATAAGAATAAGCATAAAGATCAATGGAGGTAACTGCAATTATGGAAATAGTTCCTAACATTTATGGTCAACTTGATCTTTGAAAACAAAGGCAATGACAATTCAGGTGTTGGGAAAATTAGATATCCATATGAAGGATGATGAATTTAGAATCTTGCAACTCCATACAAAATTAACTTCAATTGAATCATATATCAAAATATAAGAGATTAAACAATGAAATTTATGAAAGAAATATAGAAATAAATTTTGTAGCCCTGGTGAGATGGTTAATTTTATCTGCCAACTTGAATTGGTCACAATGCCCAAATATATATGAATATGTGGATGTGGGTGTGGGTATGCATATGTGTGTGTACACACACATAAGTATATGTACACACACTTATATTTATTTATAGATAAATATTTAAACTTTTAAATATTTAAATTCTCCTATCGGTTCTGTTTTTCTGAATAAATATATACCCTGAAAAAATCCTCAACTACTGTAGATGCAGATCAGAGATGATCAAAAACAAACCCAGAATCTCATCCTATGAGTAGATGAATTACAACACATATTGAATTTACAACATCACAGAGTGTCTATTGTTAAACTGAGTGTATTATTCAGAGAAAAATGAGATCCCGAAAATGGAACTGGGACATATGGGAAAGTTCTGATGAAACTGAGGTCACTAAAACCCTAAATTCTGGACTCTTCTTTGCTGGTAAAAGCAGCTTCTGCATCCCTGTATGAGGAAATTAACCCTGCATCCTCAGGAAAATATAATGTCTGCGCCTAAGGCAGCTGCCATAAAAGACCCTAGTGATTCTCTTCAGGAAGTATCTTCAATATTTATGTGAGTGCCATTTCTATTTATTATGTCATAATTTTGGCATAATGGATATGGAGAAAGGACTTCATCTGCAGACAATAACGGTCTAAGTAACAGGGGAAAATACGACACTAACAGTGAAAAACACCCACTTGTAGTTCTAGAAATTTGAATGAAAAGTTTTAAGGCTTACAATATGAGCCATAAAGTTTCTGGTACATCTAGCACATCTATCTATCTATCTATTTATCATGTGTATTAATGTAAATATTTTGTTTATCAAATAAAATTTATTATTTATATTGATGAATATTAGTAATCATATAGTTGCTCAATCACCTACCTCTATGCTATGTATTTTATAGGGCATGTCTCTCGGCTCAATATCCTTCTCGGCGTATAAAGAAGCGCCTGCGTTCTTATGTTTTACTTGATAAATCACATGTTCAAAACCAATTGAAGGCTCCAAGGGCTCAATTCCATAACTTATATTTTCAAACTGTAGTAAGCCCCTACAAGTTTCAAAATACATTTAAAAAAAAATATATATATATATAATGCCATTTAGTCAGGTTTTTGTTTAATAGTATTAATTTTCAGTCTTGGTCTTAGGTGGTAAAGTAGGAAAAACTTCCTAACCATCAACTTACTGAGTGGCACTAAAGCATAATGATATTGGGATTTCTCTAGCTATTGATATTTCATGGTCTCCAAACATAGCAAAAGTCTTAATTCAGAATAAGGCTAGGACATTACAAGAATTTCCACACTGTGTTTTTCCAGAGATCATTTTCCACAATAAGGCATGCCTCATGTTAGAACTACTGAATATAATTTATAAATTAAAAAATTATTTAAAAATAATATTCCATTTTGTAGTTATAAAATTATATATCACAACCTGAGTCCAGTACATGTGCTGAGGATCACCATGGAATTTGGATAACCTTCAATATACCCTTGGTAGTAGCAAAAATTCTGAAAAACAAAAGATAAAATACATTTATCTCTGTTAGAATAATTCATGTTAAAGATACTGTTTTCAAATATTTAAAACAAATGTTAATTTGTGCATATGTACCAAATACTGATTGTTTCCAAAACAGATTTATAGGATTATTAGATAAGCATTTGACTCAGTGATCCAAAAAGTTTTCCATAGGTTCACAAAGAATTCATATATTTTCAGATTATTTTCCTGTTATAAAATAAACATGTAGTTCTTGGTCATTAAGATCAAGGAAAAAAATCTTCAAAAGTTATTTTTTTCATATCCTTTGGCTTAGTTTTACAAAAACAAAACAAAACCAATTTAATAAGAGAAATTTTTGTTTCTAAAATTATTTGAGTGTAACAGCATAGCACCTTGCACTGGATTAACTCTCCTACCAATTGCAACAAATATAAACTATGGAAAAGTCATTTTAAACTCCAACTATAAAGGCTGGCAGGAAAAGATGGAGAAGGTAGTCAACACTAGAAAGAAAAACATGGGAGATACAGAGATTTGCAATTATATTAGTTTTCACCTGAGGGCACTCCAGTAGGCAGGACAGCGCAAGGTAGCTAATGCTCTAACAAAAACCCAACAGTCGCCCTGGCTGGGTGGCTCGGTTGGTTACATCTTCATCCTGATACCCCAAGGTTGCGGATTCAATCCCGGTCAGGACACATACAAGAATCAACCAATGAATGCGTAGGTAAGTGGAACAACGAATCGATGTTTCTCTCTCTCTCAAATCAATTAACAAAAACAAACAGCAATAACAAAACAATCTTACTGGTTCCTAGAAACTGAGGTATAATATCTGGGAAAAGAAAGAGGCACAGAGTGAGGCCCCAAAATGCGGGCTATTAACTGAGGTGTAAGTTCATTTTACAGCTAAACTGGGAATTTGTGAAGAAGATCACAAGTGGTATAGCAGAAACTGAAACCAGAAAAGCTAGAACTGAGAAGACATTTTGGCTGTTTGTGAACACAGGAGGGTAGAGTTTTGAAAGTGGCTCCAGAAAAGTTAATTGTCTGGTGGAATAAGAATGATACATTCTAGAGTTTGTGACATTCTAGAGTTCTAGAGCCACGAGCTCTAGAATGTATCATTGAATATAGCCAGTATGATTTTAAAATATTAGATATGTGAATGTGGCTCATAGTCAAGAGGAAAAAAAAAAGAACTGATTCTGAAATAACCCAAGATGTTCGCTTAGTAAAAAAAAAAAAAAAAAAGGTTTAAATCAGATATTAAGTGTCATCTAGAATAAAAGGTAAATTTAGGCATAATAGGAAAACAACTAGGGAATTCAGCAGAGAAATAAAGGTTATAGAATTCTAAACCCTAAATTCTGGAACAAAAAATACATTTAAAATATAACACACTGAATAAGTTTTACTGTACATTGGAGAAGGCAAAAAAAGGTAAAAAACATATATATATAGACCCATAGACATCAAATTTAAAAGAAAACTGAGAGAAAAGAACCTTTAAAATTTGAACATAAATGCAGCAATCTTTGGATAATGTTATCTATCATGTTTAATTGAATTCCCAGGGGAATAAAAAAGAGAAAATAGAGGAGAAAATTTTTTTGATAATGGCCAAAATTTCCCCAAATATATTGAGATAGAGCAATTTATAGATTGAGACACTTAATATACAAATAGATAATGGCTAGATCATATACAGAAATAGAATTCTGACACAAAACCTACTGCAACCTGCCCAGGAAATCGATCGACACCCTTATGGACAGTCATAAACCCAGGAAGCCAGCTTGCTACAAGTCAGACATTGTAGGAAGCCATATTTCTGTGTCTAGTAACAATACAGGAAGCTAAACAGTAACGTATGAAGTAAGACTTAATAAATTTCAGTTTACTTAAATTTTGTCTCTGCTTCCAACTTGAGACCAACCAGAGAAAGCTGAGTACATACCCCTAAACAAATACATAGGATGCTTTGCCTCTTGTTAGCCTACCTATAGCTTCCTCAGGTTACCCACTTCCAGTTGGGTAGCGTACCTGCAGCTGTCTTTCTTTTTTTTACTCTATGAAGCTTCCCCATCCCTCTACCTACTTTAGAGTACTGAAATTGATGATCCTTTTGATTTTATGAAATTTAGTTCTAAATTCCAGCTCTAGCTCTGGCTGGTGTAGCTCAGTAGATTGAGCGCCAGCCTGTGAACCAGAGGGTCACTGGTTTGATTCCCAGTCAGAGCACATGCCTGTGTTGTGGGCCAGGTCTCCTGTGGGGGTTGCATAAGAGGCAACCACACATGGATGCTTCTCTCCCTCTCTTTCTTCCTCCTTTCTCTTCTGTCTAAAAGTAAATAAATAAAATCTTTTAAAACATAAATAAATCCTAGCTCTAGAAATCATATTTTTCCTTCTCTCGTAGATAGATAGATAGATGATAGATAGATAAATGATAGACGATAAATGATAGATAGATAAATAGATAGATAGATAGAGACCTCAGAGACCTAGCCTTTCCCCCAGATAATAAGCAGCTCCCAAGGCAGCAGAAGATAGTAACAAGAACCTATTAAAGATAACATCTAAGTTACGAGTTGGATTTTTAGAAGTATAAGCTCCCCATCTCCAAATTAGCTAATTAAATATTAAAATATTTTTTTTTATTTCTATACTGCAAACTCTTGCTTGTTTATTTCTTTGGGCCAGTGCAGATAGGCAGGTGGACTCACGGGAAAACATTGGGTTCCAGTAACAGTGTCTGCCAAAATGCAAGTGACAGTGGCCAGGTCCCTGGCAATGGCCAGATTTGAATAAATAGCTTTTGCTTATTTTCATTTCCACAATATCAGCTCATAGTAATGAACTGATGGAAACCAAAAATAGAGAAAAATCTTGAAATAAACCAGAGAAATGTAGCATGTAACTTTCAGAGGAATAATAACTATAGATTTATAGATATAAGTATAGATAGAGGCAGACATAGAACTAGGGACACAATGTAAGAATAAAATGCTAAGGAAAAAAGCTCTGGCACACAGGATTATGTATTAAGAAAAATTATTCTCTAATAAAGAAGATAGGGAGAATTGACTTCTGGTGTGACAGAATCAGGAGCTCCACAAATCTGCTCCTTAGCAAAACAAATGAAAATTATGAGTAAACAATCACTTAAATCCTCTGGAAATGGTGGAAAAGGCAAGCAGTCTTAAGAGAAAAAAAATAAACAGCTATTCAAAGAAACTTATGAAAATTCAGGAAGAAAAATGGAAGCCTGTGTTATCTGAGTGAAAACCAGACTCTCCTTCCCCACCTCAAAGCTCACTGAGGTGTATGGGGCTGCTGTCAGGGTAACATGACGTGTTGTTCTACAGCAAACTTTTTTTAATAAGTACAAAGAGCACACTCTAAAATCATAATACAGATATAGTGTTGTAAGTACATAAACCAGTAACAGTCATTTATCATCATCAAGTATTGATGGGGGAACCCAAGAGTTGGAAAATTTTAGTTTTAGGTAATAATAAGCTTAGTAATGAATGCATGTAAAAAGCTATTGTTTCAGGAACTGAGGCTCTGACTCACCCTAACTCCAAGAGACCACAAGCAATTTGATCTCTGTGCCCCAGGGGTGGCCGCAAGTCATCAAAATGGTATTTGAGCCATTATGTTCCAGGGAGACATCTCACCACCCAGGACACAGATCAAGAATCACAGGTCAACAACGAAAGGATGTGAGGGAAATTGCTGGACTGCAGCTTCTATCTGATTAACCTTTTCCCTGAATTCCAAACCCCTTACCTGCCCTTTTTTCCTTCCTCATAAAAAAGGTCACTTGAAGTGAAATGTAAGACAATCTTTTAGGGTACATAACACGTTGTTTTCTCAGATCACTGGCCAGCTGAATAAAGCGCCCATAAGGATTCAGTCCCTGTCTCTACTTACTGGTGCAGGTCGTGACAGCACGAATGCCAACATTTCTGGTTTCAGTGCTACGCACTCTGCATAATTGTATGTGCTATGCTTTTATACGACTGGCAGCGCAGTAGGTCTGTTTACACTAGGATCACCACAAACACGTGAGTAATGTGTTGCCCTACAATATTACAATGGCTATGGTGTCACTAGGTGTGGGGAATTTTTTGGCTCCATTATAATCTTATGGGACCACCATAGTCCAGGTGGTTCATTGTTGACTGAAATGTTATGTGGCACATGACTTTACTCATTACATTTGAGGCCAGTATTCAAAAACTCACTTCATTCCAGTTACTAATACAGCATTCTTTGCTTTGTCATTTTAATTATACATTTATCTTTCATCGTTACCTCCTGAGAGATAGAAAATAGAATTGGGTGTTAGGTATAGCAAAATTACATAAAATTCAGGCATGGGATATTGTGCTTGTGTATCTCTTTGTCTCTCTGCTTCTAACTCTTCTCTCTTACACACACATAGATATAAATATATGTTTATGTGTGTGTATGTTATAACTAATAAGACCAAAACTCCTTTTTCTGGCCCTCTTTGCCAGAGCTAGCTTGACTGAGTCTTGTTTTATGAGCCTCTATCCTCAGGACTAGAAAATTACTGGAAGCACCCTGAAGGTGCAGAGGTCCTGAGAACTTACACAACCAGATGTGCTGAACTGCAAAGCCCAAATCCTCACCCAAAGATAACACCAGAACAAACTGCAGCCTGAGCAAAACCAACTGAAACATCCTGCTCTACAACCACCCCAATTATATAATAAAAGCTCAATGCCCCTGCATTTTGCTGTTGCTGTATCACTCCACATCGTGCCCCTTTCCTCTCTAGGAAAGTGAATAAAACTTTGCTCTCTACCTTTTCTTATCTTTGTGAATTCTTTCACCAGCTGCCCTAACAATAACACAGTTTGACAATGTATTATTTATATAGCTGTGGAGACTACTCCATAGGTAACTCTCATATATGTGCCCAGTCTTCAGCAAAATGTAAAGCACTTATTCACCATCTATCTCTATTACTTATTCTGTTAAAAGCTTAGTCTCTATAAAAATGCTTTAATTTCAAAGTACTGGTAGATTCCCCACATAGAAATCAGTACTGCAAACAGGAAAAACAAGAATTGGTAGGGCAGGGCAAAGGTAAAAAGGAAAATGGTATTTCAGGCATGGGAAAGTCATACAATTATAAGAACTCTTTTCTATTATTCTTCCAATAAATTACAGATATTAGAAAATGAAGCTAAAAGTTCTCCAAATATGTGAAAATTTAATATATGACAAGGTCTGTCCAGAAAGTATCCCACCATATATTATGAAAAACAGAGCCATTTATTGAAGACACAAGATACAAGAAACATTGTACATAGGACAATGATGGCTCAGTCCCCTTCAAAGTAGGCACCTTGGGACCTCACACAATTCTCCCAGAATATCTTCTACTGTTTAAAACACTCTGCAAAAGTCCTTTGTTGGAATCACCATCAGCTGTCCCATCCTCTTTTCTGAATCTAATTGATGGTCTGCAATCTCTTCCCTTTCAAAGGTGCTTTTAGTTTTGGTTAAAGCCAGAAGTTGCAGGGTGACAAATCTGGTTCATTGGCAGCGGTTTGAAACAAACCATTAGCAACACATCAGATCAGCCTCTGGTTCTTGCACCATCAGTCACAGATATTTGTGGATCGCAGCCCATACATGTTCAACATTCTCATGTGTTCTGCTTGTTTCTGGCCTTCCAGAACATGGATCACTTTCAACAGACTCTCAGCCATCTTTGAAGTGTTTGTGCCACATTTTTATTTGCGCTGCACTCATTGCATCGTCCCCAAAAGCCTTCTGAATCCCCTGAATAGTTTCCATGGAGATATGTTCAAGCTTAACACAAAATTTGATGCAGATTCATTATCTATTTGCTCCATCATTTTGAATGCGAAAGCCACTCTGTACACATCCTCACTCAACGGTACCTACCACCCCACTGCCTAGTACAGTGAAATCATCATTGTTCACGCCTGCACATTCCAGTCCACTCTCCTTGGTGGCCAGGTTACATCAATGTTGCACAAACCATTCTTGTCATACTAACAATAGCCGGCCTTTTTCCAGACAGACATTGTATTCCTAAATATACATGAAATTCCATGTGTATTTACTTAGTCTCTCAAAATACTTCAGAAAAGTCTTTGGATTCTCCTCGTCTTCCCAGATTTAGCTTTCCTAACCTAAGTCATGCTTTTTCATTTTAAGTATGTCTCAATGTAGTTAACCCTTTGGCCACATAAGTATATACATGCACATCCTTGTGCAACAATAGCTTAAAAACATCACAATCATTACTGGTTTGGATAATTGTGTAATAAAGCTTACTCAAGGCACATCAAAAAGAAATGGTTAAATTCACACCAAAACAAAATATAACTTCAACCTTTTGTACCCCAACAACAAGTGGACCCTAAGTAAGGTGATCACAGAAACTTACATAACAAAAGTAAAACAGATAATAAAAACCATACCTGAATCTGATAGTCAAAAGGTTTCATGTGTCCGGTGCCATTATAACCATAAACTCTAAAATTATGAGGTAAAAAAGCTCTGTAAAATAGATGAAAAGTATTTAATGGAAAATTTGTTTCCTAAGCTTTTATTTTGAAAAGATATTTATTTTGTTTTATTTATTGTAAATAGGTAAGCAGAGGGAAAGAGTGAGGAGAAAATAAAAAAACTGATTCTCTGTTTTTGTTCTCATTTTACTCAAGATCAGAGTTTGCAGTCCTCCCCTCACTTACTTTAATGTCACACTATCTTTCTGTTTTTTGTTTTAAATACAATAGGCAAGCTTTTGCCTCAGGGTATTTGCATAAGTTATTGTCCCTTCCTGGGATGTTCTTCAGCGTGGCTCATTGTCTTGTTTACTTCAAGTTGTTGCTTATATATCAACTTCTCAATGAGGCTCATATTGATAAGCCTATAAAAAATGCAATTTCCTCGCCCTGGTTGGTATTGAGCACTGGCCTGTGAAGCAAAGGGTCACGGGTTCAATTCCCAGCCAGGGCATGTCCCTGGGTTACAGGCCTAGTCCCCACTAGGGGGCATGTGAGAGGTAACCACACATTGATGTTTCTCCCCCTCTCTTTCTTCTTCCCTTCCCTCTCTCTAAAAATAAAAAAATAAAAACTTTTTAAAAAATGTAACTTTATCATCAAACATGGCATTTCCAAAAGATATTTTTTTACTTTGCTCTATATTTTTGCTTAAGCATTTTAACACTCTTCCTAATCTACAGTGTTCAGCCAAAGTAACACCTGCTTGAGTGTGGTTGGTAGGGTAATAACATAGGTGTTAACGCTATTATTATAGTTTTAATGTGATCATTTCACCTAAAATTCCACATGGTATGCTTGAGTGAGATATTGTTATGTTGCAGAATTGCATGCTTATGATTCTGTAATAAAAGATTTTGTAATAAAAGGGGGCGTTATTTGTGCCAGACCCTGTATTTATTTATTATCTCCTATTAGAGCTATCTGCTAACAATATAAACTCAGAGATTCATATCCACTTTGTTTACTAATGCATCTAAAGCACTTATAAGAATATCTGGAAAGTAGCAAATGGTCAATAAACACTGAACTAATAAAACAAACTCAACAGATTAGATGGACACCCCACATTAAAGTATATTATTTGTAAATGTGAGAAGAGCCTTGACCAGAGTATCTCAGTTTGTTGGGCATCGTCCCACAGAGCAAGAAAGGTCATGGGTATCCCTGGTCAGGGCATATGCCTGGGTTGCAGGTCGGACCTTGGTCAGGGTCCATATGAGAAGCAGCAGATTGATGTTTCTCTCTCACTTTAATGTTTCACTCCCTCTCTTCTCCTCTCTCTAAATAAATAAATTAAATCTCTAAATATGAGAAGATTACAAGGCTCTATAAAGAGAAAGGTGAGTGTGAGTATCCCATTTTCATTTCCCCAAGCAAGTATAATATGACAGTTGTGACTGCCATGACAGCCTGGATTTTGTTGAAGCAACTGGCCCAAGAACTAAGCCACTGACAATCAGAACACAATATTTTGTCCTCTTGTCATAACAAAAAGAAAATGACCCACAGTGAAGTGGGATTCCAGGAAATATACAAGTTCTCAATGGAAGGCCCTATGAAAGAATTTAGCTGCTGAGATGCAGGCACAGTTTTTTGGCACAGAAAAGAAGAGCCCAAATACCGATGTTTGTCCAGGTTGTCCCAAGGAGAAAGCCACTAACATTTGGAAGCCTAGAAACAAGCAGGACTTTGGGAGTTCACACAGGCCTGAAATAAAAATATTGAACATTTGAAATGCATCAAATACACTAACTTCTTTTCCTGTAAAAACATTTGCCAAATTTTGAAGTCACACAGAGTGTCCAAGATGCTAAATTTAAAGTCTTTGAAAATTAGAGCAAATATTTTTTTCCAAATTTATGATACAGAATCAACATGCTTTATGTAATTCAAGCATAATTTTAAAAAAAATAACACCTAAATATTTTTAAAAGATTGATGAAAATTAAAATAAAACCAAAGTGTTGAGAGGAAAAAGAAAAGACGTTACCTTCAAAAAACATCAATAAGTCAGAAAGCTACCTTGTCAATAGAAATAAACAAAATTGGAAGACAATAAATAATAATTTAGAAGAACTAAAGTTGTTTTTAAAAGTCATCCTAAAATTAATTCCAGCAAAAACATTTTTTTAAGAATAAGGTTAAGTAAAGGTTTAACAGTGAATACAAACAAATATAATTTAAAAAGAAGCAGGCCTATAATAGAAATACAGAGAATTCCTGATATGTGGAAATTAACTACAGATAGAAACAGAAGTGCAAGAAGAAATAAAGAGCACCAGAATGGGTAAATGTATAGTTAAATATAAAGGAATATTGACTTTACCAAAAATAATAGTAATCTCTTATTGGATTTTAAATGTATGCAGGACTATATTAAAAAAAATGAAAAAGTAGATAAAGGCAATTGGTATTAAAAAGTTGAAATGCTCTAACAATATAGGGTAATTGGTAAAAGAAAAAGTGTGTATTAGATTCAGTAATTCAGGAATTACTATGTTAATCTCCAAAAATCACAAAAAGAAGAGTAAAAGGATGTATAAAGTTTAATAGAGAGAAAATGGTGTGATATAAAAAAATAGATTAATTACACACAATGAAAGCAAATAAATGTAAAATAAAAAGTACAAAAGAAAAAATAATGTTTTGAAAAACACATGGAAAATCAAAGGATGAAGAAAAATAAGGATATCTTAGAACTGTAGAACAAGGCCAGGTATCAAGACCTATTACAGAGTTGTAGTAATTAATTCTGTGTGGTATTTGCATTGATAAATAGGGCTCAAGAATAAACATGAACTAAAAGAAAAGGAAAAAGAGTACAGAAGGAGACCCTTCATAAACAGTCATTTGATTTATGACAAAGATTACAGTACAGTGAGGAAAAAGGTTTGGGGTTTTTTTTGTTTTGTTTCGTTTTTAATAGCATGTGCTGGATCCATTGAATGCTAATATGAAAAAATAATCAAATCTTGACTACTATGCTCATAAAATACACAAACATCAACCTTAGAACTAAATATGAAAGTAAAAACAATAAAAACCATTGCAAGAAAGTAGCTTGGATTCCTGACTATGCAAACAATACCTTATTTTAAAATATGAAAAATGTAATAACTACAAAGTAAAAATGTTAATTTGAACTGAATTAAAAGATAGAATTTAAAACTTGATTTAAAAAATCTAAACTAAATAAAAATTAAAAGGAAAAAGTAGGAAATACGTAATTTACAAATATAAACAAAGAAAGTCAATGTAATTTTTTATTGAATCAAATATATAAAAAATAAAACACTATGAGAAAATCACTACATAATGTTAAAACTTTTATTTAAAATGTTTATAATTTCAGAAATATACAGGGTGGGCAAAAGTAGATTTACAGTTGTGAATACTCACAATTTATTCTTGAATTATATTTATTAATTATTGTATTATTTCCCATAGAAACAACTTTAAACCTACTTTTGCCCCACTCTGTATAATTCAAAATTTATAGAGTACAAGGAAACTAGTAATTTTAAAATTATTGTGGAAGATCTTAACACATATATATTACAAAAGAACAGAATAAATAGAAAAATCAGTGTGGATATGAAAGAATTTTATATTATTAGAAAGTATTGTAGGAGCAATTGCAGAATACATATCATTTTCTAGTATATACATAATATTTATAAAAAGTGAATATACATTATATCTCAAAAAAGTCTCAACACTCTTAAAGGATTAAAATCAGAAAATATTCTATGATCAAAAGTGATTAGATATAATAACTAGAAATTACCACATGTATTGATACTAAGATATAACGTGAAATAATTTATGGACAAAGAAGAAATATTATAAATACAAGAAAATGGGGAACTTCCAGTCAAGATGATGGCATTTGTAAGCATAGCTTGCTTCCCTCACACAACCATATCAAAATTATAATGAAACTATAGAACAACCATCACACAGAAACATCAAAAATCAAGTTGAATGGAAGTCTGACAACTAATAAATTAAAGAAACAACATTCATCCAATCTGGTAGGAGGAGCAGAGATGCAGAACAGGCTGCTCTCACATCTACCTGTGGTGGATAAAAAGTCAGGAGGGATATCTTGGGAACAAGGAGTCCAAGCCCCACAAGAGGTCCCCAAGCCCAGGGTTGCAGAACCAGGAAGATAAGTCCCCCAACTTTTGGATGCAAAAATGAGCAGGGACTGAGTCAATGAAAGAAACTTCTGGAGTCCCAAACAGTTCTTAAAAAACCCACACATGGACTTAATCAGACTCACTCCCTCTGAGCTCTAGCATTGGATTAGCAGCTTGAAAGTCACCAGTGGCATATCGGGAGAAACTGAAGTGTGTAGCATAAAGGCAAGAGCTGGAGGACAGCTTTCTCCCAGGCAGAAAGGTGGGCAGAGGCCATTATCCCTTTTCTGAACCCTCCCCCCACAGAGATGGCAGACAGGTACCATATAGAGACTCCACCAACAAGGCTAACATTGTTTGTACCACCCTGGAGATCCCCCAACTTATGGACCCATGCAAGCTGGTAAAAGAGACTGTTCTATATGAATGGCTGGTCTTGGCTCATGCTTCACAACTTCCTAAATCTTCTCAAACAAGCAGCAGTCAGCCTCCGTGAGCCCCCAGCCCCAAGAGCATTTTCTACGTGGCCCCAGGCCTGGCACTAGCAGCAGCCAGCCTAGATTCACAGCTTGGCTTTACCTGGGAATCTCCAAGCCCAACACAAGTAACAGCCATCTCAGATTGCTTTATAGCCCAGGCAGGTGGCCCTGGGCAGAACACAGGTGGGGGCTGACCTTGGCCTACACCAACCAGGAAATCCCAGGGCCTGTGCACTCAATGGACAGCTACAGACCACGTCAGAGCACCATCACCCTGCCTCGGCACAGCTGAAACTCCACAGAGGATAGATATTGGTGGTCAGTGATCGCAGCCAGCCCTCAAAGCTGATAGGCCTGAGTAAATCCCT